CGAGAGGAGCAGCCCAAGAGTAATGGTAGCTGGGCTTGGAGAACGCCCTGCAGCCACTGCTTCTGTGGGCCCTGTCCCTTCTTCCCTCGGGTCCTGCTGGGCACTGCAGTGGAGTATCGTGCCAGGCCTGGCTGCACCACTACCATACCTGGCACTTGGGAAAGTCGGTTCCCCTCTCAGCCACTGAGAAATGGGCCCAGTACCCTCCCCACTGTGTTGCAATAAACCAGCTCCTTGATGAGGAAGGCAGCTCCTCAGGAATGCGAGGCGTGGACTGAGGTTTCCCCATGAATTGTAGCCACGCCCATCTGAGTTACACATCACCGCAGCTCTTCAGCAGGTTGTCTTCTGTCGGAACATCCCTCCGCTCGGGTTGGCCACCGTTTATTCCTTCCCTTGGTCTATCTGAAGAGCCCACAGGAATCTCACTGGTGCCACAGAATAGCGTAGATTTCCCAGGGTCATTGCTGGATCACAAATGCAAAAAGAAAAAAAACAATTGACCTGAATCATCAGATATTGGAGCCGAGCTGTTTCTCCTTCAGTTGGTCAACCAATGATCAAGTCGCGGACGGTCTTTGGTGTTTCCACCCAGCCGCCTCCTCCAAGGAGAGTGAAGACTCAGCACTCAAATCATGTTCACGGCCCAGCAAGAAGGAAAAGTCTCGGGAGCTGACAGCACCGGGGCCTGTGGTCAGGATATCTGGGAACTGCAGCCTGCACAGCTGTGAGCGTCCGCGTCCGCTGTCTGCGAGTCACCTGCTCCATGGAGTCCTTGTGGGGTGGTCCGAGCTACGACAAGCGGCCTGTCTGGAGGAAAAACACAAAGTGCAAAGCATCTTTGGGATGCAGGCATCTCAGAAATTGCAGACAACTTCCGCCTTGCTCCGCACTGGGGAGGATTAGGGACAGAATGCAGAATCTTACTGCTTCTCCTGCCAGCAGCAGATGGGCAGGAATGAATCACTTCCTCAAGTGTGTAAGTAAATAAAGTGTGTCCGCCCCTTACGAGGTGGACAGAGTGCATACGTTTCTGGGAAACACTCGCAGACGTTCGTGAAAGGCTAAGAGGAGAAGCAACGTCAGGCCAGAGCATTCGCTCGGCGCTGCTGCCGGGAGCCATGTCGAGACAGACTGGAATCCCAGCACTTTGGCAAACCCGGTGAGACCATCTGCGAGTTCTGTGGAGCTGGAGTCCTGCTGTACAATGATCTAACAGAGTGTCAGCAACCCTCGAGGCCAGGCATCTGCACAGCCTGAGAATCCCAGCACCGCGAGGAAGCTGAGGCAGGAGGACCTCCACGGAGCCCAGCTGAACAACTGAGATGGTATCTCCAGGCAGGAACATCCACATGGGCTGCACGTGTAGCTCTGAGGGTTGGAATGCAGAAGAGGAGGAGTGTGAAGAGGCAGGCTGCACAGAGCCCTCTCTGTAAGCGAGGTTCTACCTGGTGTCTGCCTCCCGTGGGGCAGGATGTCTTCCAGACCGGCGTCACTCACCAAGTGGCTTGGGGAGACGGCGGTTTGAGGTTTTTCACAGTTTTTTCACACCCTTGCTGAGAACTTGCTGTGAACGCTGGCATGAGCTTTGCTGCTGTCTCAGCGTCTCGACCCTCGAAGTTGCTGTATCAACACCGCTTTCTAGGTTTGGCTTTGGGACGATGTCTCTTCTTCTGTGGACGTGTTGGGTCCCTCCTGCTGGCCGTTAGGAATCGAAGAGAACACTCTGTGGGTGAGCAGCATCGGCAGCTTGGGAGGTGGCTGGCAGGAGGCGCATAGTGTCGGGAGGAGTGTGGCAGAGACTCCTGACTCCCGAGGAACTCCTGACTCCCGAGGATGTGCAGCTTGAGACGCTGTCTCTCTGGAAACATGCCTCATGAGGACAGATGCACGGGCCTTTCCTAGAAGGCTGTGGGGTCCCCAGCTGATCAATCCACACTGGGGCCCACGGGGCTTGGTAGCAACCCGTGGCTTTGTAGGTCAGCAGATGGACCGGGCCAGCAGATCAGGGCCTGGGAAAGAGGCAGGTGGAGCTGATGCAAAATGTGAATGTCACTTCAAGGAAGTCACTTTAAAACCACCAATGCTAGGGTTGCCTCTGCCTTTGGCAGAGCTCCGCTGCCCACACGCTGTCTGCTCCCTGGATGTGCAGAAGATGCTGGGAGCTCCTGCTCTGGCCAGATCCTTCCCCCTGCAGGAATTCAGGGTCGAGGCCCATGGAGCTGAGGTGGCGGCTCCCACCTGGTCCTCTTCATGAAGAGGCCTCTCAGTGAAGCTGGAGCTGACGGTGGGCTGTGGGAGGCCCGGGCCCTGGGGAGCCTGGGGCTCAGTGCACAGAGTGGGTAAGAGAGTCACCTACAGATGGCCAACTCCACGGGCGTCTGCACTTTGCAGCCTCCTGTGACCCCTCCCCGGGTGCGTGTGACCCCACCTCCAGTCCAGGGCATGAGGGGCCACCAGGAGCCAGGACAGGCCAAGTGGGACCTCTGAAATTACCCGCTCTGGGACCAGTACCTAAGAAGAGCCAGGGATTTCAGGGTGGCACAAGCATATGCATGCGTTTCCTTAAAGATGGGGCTGCTGTAATAAATTCCTTCACACCGGGGGCCTGAACACAACGAGGGTCCATCTTCTCCCATCCCAGAGCCCGGGAGGCTGAGACAGAGGCCTCCCAGGCTGCGCTCCCTCCACAGGCTCCCGGGAGACCCTCCCGCCTCTGCCTCCTCCGGGGCTCCAGGCGGCCCCGGGCTGCGGCCCCATCACGCCAGGCTCCATCTCCGACTCCACGCGGCTTCTCTGTCTCTGTGTTTGCGTCTCTTCCTCTGTCTCGTGAGGGCGCTGCCATTGGATCCAGGGCCACCCCGACCCCGGATAGTTCTTTCCTGAGTTACCTCAGCGTGGACTCTATTTCCAAATAAGGCCCCGCCTGAGTCTGTGGGAGGACGTGTGTTCAGGGCACCCTTTACCCCGCATCATTTCCTTCCCTGCACATGGGAACAGACTCAGCGCCGTACCCAACTCAGTCCAGTGCTGCCTCCCCCGTGGCCCCGAGCCCCGGGACCCTGGCCCCTCTCTGCTCTGCCCTTTCTCCCTCTCAGGCTCTGCTTCAATGCTGAGGGAGCCTGCAAGCCCCCCCCCCCCACGTCATGGGCAACGCGCCAGGGACGTTGCTGCCTCAGCCTCCTGCCCGCCTTCCCGTTCCCTGCGATTTCAGGTCCCTGGATGTCTCAGGAGCCGGGTTCTGATGGTCCCCAAAGCCACACGGGTATTGGGGCTGGTGCAGGCGGATCTCAGACTCAGGATGCGGGAGACCCTTGTGCACGTCTCTGCACGGCCACACGGAGAGGGCCCCGGAGCGGGTTTCTGGTCAGAGTGCGTGGTGTCCTCACAAGTCAGGTGTCCCCAGATGGAGGTGCGGTGCACGCGTCTGTGGAGAATCTTGGGTCCTGGAAGGACTCGCTGAGGTGCAGGGTCCACAGGGGACAATGGTGGCTGGAGAATGAGCCAAGAGAACCTCCAAAGCAAGGCACACCCAAAGCATCTCGTGGAAATGCAGCAGGGCTGACCCGGCTCAGCCTTGGGGACACAGCGAGGCCACTTGGCTGTCACTTCCTGGACACACTTGGGCATGCAGAGGCCGCTGAGCATTCTGCAAAACTGACTCAATGTCTTCCCCAGCGTAGGAGGTCAGTGCAGGGCCATGGAGAAAGGAATCCACTGAGGCTGGAGTGACCCCTGTGAATCCCCCACCACCGGTTCCTTGGGGCTCTTAGAGTCATGGACAGAGTTGGAAGGACCCATCCTAGTTTTATTTATTAGTTTTTGGAAGAGTCCTGGTGACCGGAGTGACTGGGAGTGAAAGAAACACAGATTCCAGCATGTGCCAGGCTGGAGAGACCAGAGCCAGAAAGGGGACAGAAAGTACCGGGGTGGCTGTTGGCATGGCAGTGGCTCTGCAGGGAGGCCTCACCAACAGGGGGGCAGCAAGAGCGAGGCGTGGAGTCAGCAGCTTGCATGGGGACTCGTCTTACGCACCGCTCCCTGTTGGGTGGAAACAGAACGGGAGCCCCTGCAGGGGCAGGAACCAGGGCGTCCCAGAGAGGCCCCGGCTCTTCCCTGTATGTGGTCGTGCTTGCGTCTCCGGAGAAGGGCAGGGTCTGGCCTGCATTGCTTTGCTTTGCATCTGGCTGTCTCTGGGCAGAAGCTGGAGTTATTGGGGTTCCCCTCTGCCACGGCGGGGGACTCCCTCACCGCCTTGTCCAAAAGGGGTAAGGGCTCCCGGAGTGCCCATAAGACATGGAGCCACGGCCAGGCTGTGCATCTGTGCTGGGCGCAGTCTGCAGGTCACGCTGGGCACCATGCCACCTCTCTGCGGGCCACAGTGGAGTCCTTGCAAACCCCACTGGTGCTCACGCAGACCCCACTGGAGTCCGTGCAGACCACACTGGAGTCCGTGCAGACCCCACCGGAGACAGTGCAAAAACCCCACTGGAGTCTGCAAACCACAATGGAGTCCATGCAAACCCCACTGGAGACAGTGCAGACCCCACTGGAGTCCATGCAGACCCCACTGGAGACAGTGCAAAAACCACACTAGAGTCTATGGAGACCACACTGGAGTCCCTGCAAACCCCGCCAGAGTCTGTGGAAACCCCACAGGAATCCATGCAGACCCCACTGGTGTCCGTGCAAACCCCACCAGAGACAGTGCAAAAACCCCACTGGAGTCTGCAAACCACAATGGAGTCCATGCAAACCCCACTGGAGACAGTGCAGACCCCACTGGACACAGTACAAAAACCCCACTGGAGTCCATGCACACCACACTGGAGTCCATGCAAACCCTACTGGAGTCCCTGCGCACCTCTCTGTGGACCACAATAGCGTCCTGTACACCCCACTGGAGTCTCCACAAAGCACAACAGAATCTTGCAGACCCCACTGGAGTCCATGCAAACCCCACTGGAGGCAATGCGCGATCCCCTGGAGTCCATGCCCGCCACAGTCCCTTTGAGAACTAAGGTGCCGCCCGAGCCTGCGGGGGTCGGAAGCCAGGTGACCCCCCCGCTCGGCCCTCAGGTCCCTCCGGGCTCCGCCCAGGCCAGCTGCCCTCCGCCTGTCAGGCCCGGCTCCGGGTGGGTGTCTGCTGCTTCACGCCTCCCTCCGCCTTGCTCAGAGCACGCTCTCCTGCGTCTTGAGGCCGGGCCCTGGGGTGGGGACCAGGCCGTCGCCGTGGCCGTTGGAGCCCGAGCGTGCAGACAGTGTGGTCCTGGCGGAGAAGACGCTGTCCCTGCGGGCTTCCTGGCTGTCGGAGGGCAGCCGGCCGTAACCGAGGTAGTCACGGAGCCGCAGCTGGAACTCCCGGGAGGCAAAGTAGTAGACGAAGGGGTCCAGGCAGTTGTTGAGGCAGGAGAGGGAGAGCGTGAGCTTGTACACGTGGTAGTAGCTGCGGCCGAGGAACAGGCGGCTGACCATGTGCACCAAGAGCACGAAGTTGTTGGGCGCGAAGCAGGTGACGAAGGACAGCAGGACCACGGCGGCCAGCCTCACGGAGCGGCGGCGCTGACCCTGGCCGTGCCGGTCAGCCGTGCGCAGCAGCTGGGTGATGGTGGCCGTGTAGCAGGCCACGGTGACCAGGAAGGGGATGAGGAAGAGCACGACGAAGATGGTGAAGAGGAAGATGGCCCACATGGCCAGGCCGGGCAGCATGGTCCACTTGAGGACGTCAAAGCAGGTGACGATGCCCAGGGCGTCCACCGCATAGGTGAGGTCCGTGCGGGCCAGCGGGAAGAGGGCGGCCAGGAGCAGCAGCCAGCAGCCGGTGCACAGCCCCACGGCGTAGCGGCGGCGGCGCCAGCGGGCGGAGGACAGCGGGTGCACGACGCCCAGGAAGCGGTCCACGCTGATGCAGGTCATGCTGAGGATGCTGCCGTACATGTTGGCGTAGAAGGCCACGGTGACCACGTTGCAGAGCGGCCGGCCAAACACCCAGTGGTGGCCGTTGCAGTGGTAGTAGATCTGGAAGGGCAGCACCGTGGCCAGCAGCAGGTCGGTGACGCTCAGGTTGATCATGAAGATGACTGACGGGGAGCGCGGCCCGATGTGGCGGCACAGCACCCACAGCGCGAACAGGTTGCCCGGGATGCTGACCAGCACCACCAGTGAGTACGCGGCCGGCAGCACCACTGCGAGCGCCGAGCTCTGCAGCATCTGCAGCATCTGCAGCGTGGCGTTGTCCGGGCCCGTCATGTTCACGCCGAAGGTCATCCTGACAGGAGCCTGGGCATCCTCGCAGGCCCGAGGTGGTGTGGGGGGATTAGGTGGGGGTCTCAGGGACCCCGAGGAGGTGTGGGTCGGCACGGGCTGCAAGGCACAGAAAGGGTGGGAGCTGAGCTGGGACACAAGGGTCTGGGGACAGACCTGCTCCTCGGGGCGCACAGAGGCTGCAGTGGCTCCTGCGCTCTCTCCCAGCCCTCCCTCCCTTCCTCCCTCCCTCCCTCCCTTCCTTCCTTCCTTCCCACCAACACTACACCTAACCCTGAACACCGAAACCCCTCAGCACACACCAGAAAGCCTAAAGGATACAGAAAAAACATCCCCACCTCTGGCACTGACAAATGTGGAGGCCATAGACCCTGGCTTCTGGTGCTCACAGACACACCTATCCCTGTCCCTGTGCTGTGTCAAGGTCAACACACTCACACACACCCACCCCCACACACGGCCCTTCCTCGGCTCCTTCCTTCTTTCCACATGGAAGGGCTGGGAGCATGCTGCAAGGGGCGCCACAGCGGCTTCCCCCTTGGGGCCATGAGGACATTGGAAATCTAACCCCATATTTCTGAAGTTACAAAGCGACTGACACTAAATCTGTCTGCAGCTGCAGGATAGGTTCTTGGGGTCACCCCAAGCTGGGGAAGAATCTCCCAGAAGCCAGTGTTGGGGGCTCTGAACCCCGATTCCTCATTTGCATAAAAGGGTGCAGTTGGGGTCTCCATGTCGGAGGCTCCCTCGCTTCCTCGGGCCCCCCCAGGTGGGGTGGATGAGCTGCTCTCACCACGGGGGTGCTGTGGCCCCAGGGATGACTGCAGTTTCTTAGTCCCGGCCTTCGACCCCCTCGGCTGGGGGCTGTGGTCACCCCAACATCTCCCATTCACAGCAGGCATTGGGGCACTCACTGTGCAGGGGATTCGGGGTCCCCCGCGCCCCTGGGCTCCTTCCCTCTCCCTACCCCGGCAGCACCCTTTGCAATGACGGAGCTCTAATGTTAATCGACGAGGGGTGCAGGGGTGGGAGCCTCAGTGTCCCGGGAGCTGCTCCTCCGTCCCCTGAGTCCTCCTGGGCTTTCACGGAGAGGCAGCCGGGACCCCTCTGGTGCTTCTGGCCCTGTGTTTGGGACTCAGAAAAGTCCAGGCTGTGTGGGAAAAGGGGCCCTTTCTACACTGCTGGTGCGACGTGAACTACGAGCCCTGCGGTGCGCAGCGTGGAGACTCCTCAGAACACTGAGCTAGAAACTGCATCTGACCCAGCTGTTCCCCTTCCAGGTGTCTTTCCTAAAGAGTTAGAGTCATCATACTACAGGGATCCACGCACACCCATGTGTACAGCAGCACAACTCAGAACAGCTACATCTCGGAAGCGGCCTCTGTGTCCCTCAGCAGATGAACGCATAAAGAAAATGTGTTTACACACAATGGAGTACTACTGTGCCATGAAAAAGCATAGGCTTGAGTCAGTTGTGGGAAAATGGGCGCACCTTGAGATCATGATGTTAAGTGAAGTAAACCAGACGCACAAGCTTCCGTATCACATGGCTTCTCTTGGACAAGAAACTCAAAGTATGAATAAAGAAGAAGATAAGAGATAGATTGGTAGGAAGGGAGACAGATCTCTCTCCAATGAGATGCAGGGAGGGGAAGAAAAAGAACCAAGCTGTGATCTGCGCTGCACGCAGCGCTCCCCACTGGGAGTACAGTCCTGGTGCCCTGGAAACACAGACTCACAAAAAAGGAAACTTAGAAAAGGATGGAGACCCCAGCTTGCAAGACCTGAGCGTGAGGAAACAGCATGCAAAGTGGACTCGGGTCGGTCCCGTGGGCCCACGCACGCCCCTTCTGTGGGCCTCGGTTCCCCCAGGGCCTCCCCACGGCTGCCCTGCCCTGCTGTCACCTCCCACCCCAGCAAAGCCGTTCCTGCCCTCTGGCCACCAACGGCTGCACCCAGCGCTTCCTGAAGCTAATTTTAGTCGGGGGCCGGGTTTCAGTTTGAGAGAGAAGCCTCAGCGCAGGTGTGCATCCTGCAGCTCGGGCCGGTGGGCGGTAGCATCCTGTGACAGTTACCCCCCCCACCTCGCCCCGGCTTCCGCAGGACACGTGGCTGCCTGGTCTCCACCCCCCTTGGTATCCAGAAGGGACACAGACAGAGGGACAAACCCCTGCTGGCCTTGAACTCGCGGAGATCCTCCTGCCTCAGCCTCCCGAGTGCTGGGATTTCAGGCGTGCGCCACACTCCCAGCTCTTTTAAAATTTTATTTGTGTGCTGTATCCATCTTGGGGGTCCCGTGCAGTGGCCCTGGGGATGTGCACATGTACACACACGCACACATGCATGCACACGCACACACACGCAAGCACAGTGGCGCCAGTGCAAAGCCCTCTCTGGCTCCGTGTGCAGAGCAGGGAACACGCTAGGAAGTGTGGTTCTCACTTGCACCTGGGCGTTGGTGCAAAAGGCACGTTTGAGTCCCGCGCACACCTGCTCGAGTGTGGGCATCCGTGTCACCCTGGGACACTGCGCACCGGGCCACCGTGTGTGGCCCGGGAAGGGGAACCGAGATGGGCCAGCTCTGCCGGGTGACTCATCCACACATCTCCAACGGCAGCCGAGGGGAGGCCGGGCCTGCAGTTTGGGTCCCTGCGGGCCGGGGCCTCGGGGTGGAAATTGCAAGAAACCCACTGCAAAAGCGCGTGCGTGGACAGGGGCAGAGGTGACCCGGGCGTCGGCTGCAGACAGTGCCGGGTGGGCAGGAAGAGGTAAGGTCCCCGGGAAGGGTCCTCACCCGGCGCCTGCAGGAAGCCCCGCCCACTCTCCCGGCACCTGCAGGAAGCCCCGCCCACTCTCCCGTGCTGCAGAAAGAGCTTCTCTCAGGCTGATTTGCAAGCTGCCGGGAAACATGACTGGAACAGGCAGGACTCAGCGGCCGCCCGAATCCGACCCACAGCATTCCCATTGCCCGCAGACGCACCCCACACATCACAACCGTTTTGCCCCATTTTCTGCTCAGTCAACCACGAACTGAATTTTTTGTGGTTGTTTTTTGGTTTTTTGAGACAAGGTCTCCTCACGTAGTCCAGGCGGGCCTTGAACTCACTAGGTGGCTCAGGCTGACTCGGACTTGCAGCAGCCTCAAACCTCCTGCCTCAGCCGCCCCCATGTTGGGATGACAGATGGAGGCCACCACGCCCGGCTGGCCACTGACTTAGGGTTTTGGTCTTGGTCAACTTGCCTGATTGTTCTGGACCGCTCACAGGAATAAACAAAAGTCCGTCACAGTGTGGTCTTTTCTGTCTGGCCTCTCAGAGTAGATGGTTTGTTTTCAAAGTCTATTCAGGTCATAACAGAATCCCTTTTCCTGGCTGTGTAATGTGCCATAGGATGCGTGGACCACATTCCTTTTGTCCATCCCTCAGTGGGTTGCTTCTGCTTCTTAAGGAGGGGGCTCAACGCTCAGCTCCAAGAACCCCAAAGGGAAGGCCAGAAATGCAGAGCGGGGTGAACTTCCTCATGTCGGCAGAGCCAGAGCCAGAAGAGGCACAGCTGCACATGACACCTGCTCCTGTTGTCTTTCTTTGTTACCAGAACCGGGGTTTGCCAGGGCTGAGGACGTGCCAGGGGCCGAGCATGCAGAGAGTGACCCAAGGACTATGGGAGCTGCATTCCTGGCTGCTTCTGTCAATCCGCTGTGGGGCTTCCTTAGGGTGCCATCAGGCCTTCCTGCACCCGAGAGCCAGGGCTAGGCCATGGCCCTGAGGATGGAGAGACGGGAAATGGCCAGCGTATCCGGGGCACCTCGGACGACGTGCAGTGACAGATGCGAATCCCCTCAGAATTCTCCCCAGCTGTGCACACCCTCCTCCCACCGTCCTGGCCACTTCCCACAGCAGCTCTGGGGTCCTCTTTCCTGAGGTCTTCACCAGGTGTGATCACAAACACGGTGACTGCTCTGCCGGGCACCATCCAGCGGAAAGGCAGCTCGGAAACACACGGTGCTGTGTCCTCCTCCACCCGAGTCACCGCAGCTGGCACCGTGCGACTCTTGGCTCCTCCCCAAGGTCAGGATGACCGGGAAAGGTCACCGTTCTGAGTCCACTCGGGACATCGAGGCAGCCGGACAGTGCAGCTAAAGACCCTCCAGGCCAGCCTGAACTACATGGCCAGGCCCTGGCGAAAGCCTAAATCCATCAATCACCAATCATCAATCAATAAAAACGTCTACTCTGAGCTAGGCGTGGGGGCACACAGCTGTCATCCCAGCACTCCAGAGGCTGAGGCAGGAGGGTCGTGGTGAGTTTGAGGCCAACCTGGGCTACATAGTGAGACGCTGTCTCAAGAAAAGAGGAAAACGTCTGCTCTGCCAGAGATATCGTGGAGAGGATGAGAACACCAGCCTTGGTCTGCAGGAGTATTTGCAAAACACACCTGCTGAAGAACCAGGGTCCAGCACTATGAGGACTTCCGATGGGGTTTCTTCTTAGTTTTTGGAGGCAGGGGCTCCCTGTGCAGCCCAGGCTGGCCTCAAACTCACACGGATCCTCCTGCCTCAGCCTCCCGGGTGCTGGCATGACAGGCAGGCGTCCCTAGCTCTCCCAGCTGTGTAAACACGGGAAGCTCTGAGGCCCGTGAGTTGCTGACTTCAAACTCAGGACGGAGCTGGGGGGAGGCAGGTGGGGCCAGGCAGCCCGGACACGGCCCACACCTGCGCCTCAGCTCCGCGCCTCCCGGGCCCAGATGGGTGTCAGAGGCAAATCTGGCTCCCACTCCCCTGCATGGCCACTTCCCGTGTTGCACAACCTGGGAACGGGTACCACTGTGCAAGTCGCATCTGCACAAGCCTGCCCACCACACCCGGCCTCTGCTTCTGCTCTCAGATCTCACGGCACCGAGGGCGGAATCTGAACCACTGCGCCCCAGGTTGGGAACAGGCGGGCCCCTGCTCTTTGCTGCTTTTTCTTTTATTTGTGTTTTTGTTTCTGGGTTACTGGTTTTGCTCAGTGCCCAAGCTGCTCTCCAGTGTACACTCAGTCTCTAGGCTGTGGGACTCACAGCTGCGAATCTGGGCTCTGGAAGCAGAAAGCCACTGGCTG